CCCCTCCGTTCTCCAGCGGCGAGGGCTCCAGCTCACTCTCAGCCGTGGTGATGCCCTCGTCCGTCGATTCCTCCTTCCTCCTCCTCCCGCCAGCCCCCGGTGAGGCAGCCCCCCGGCCCCGCTCAGCCTCCTCCAGCATGTCCTCGGGGGAAGAGGACTTGGAGCCGTCCGACGTCCCCGGCTCCTTCCTGCCACCTGCCTCCCGGGGGGCTTTGGCCTTGGGCTTCTCCGGCTCCTTCTTGAGGGGGGGTTTCTTGATGCTGCCGGCCTTGGCCAGGGGTTTGCGGGTCTCCGGGACTGAGGTTTTCCGGGCCAGGGTCTTGGCAGGAGCCTTGGCCTCTGCCTTGCTCTCCTTCGCATCCTTCCGCAGCGTGTCAGCCTTCACCTCCTTCTTCACCACCTTCACCTCCTTCTTGGCCTCCGCCTTCGCCTCAGCCCCCTCGTCCTTCTTCGGCGGCTTCTTCTCCTCTTTCCGGGGGAGAGGCTCCTTCTTGGGCACCGCTTTCTCCTTGCTTGGCTTTGGCTTTGCGTCTGCCTTCAACTTCTCCATCGAAGAGTCCAGCTTGGCTCGAGCATCCTTGGCTTTCTCCTCTTCTGACCCCGCTCTGGCTGTCTCCCCCAGGGATTTTGGCTTCTCCTTGGTCCCTGCCTTCACCTCCTTCCTCTCCACCTTCGGAGCCTTCTCCTTTGGCACCGGTGCCCCGGCATCCACCAAGCTGAGCTTGGAAGCCGACTTCAGGCTCTCCTTGCTCTCTGCCCTCCTCTGCTTGAGCGGCTTCTCAGGCTGGGACACCGGTGACCCCTTCAAATCGTTCTTGGTGACCACGGGATGCTTGAGGAACTCCAGGTGCTTCACCTTCTCCAGCCCCTCCAGGATGCGGCCCTGGGGGGTGCAGCCGGGGAATAGCACCCGGATGATCTTCTCAGAGGGGCTGACAGGGTGCCAGACGAGCAGGGCGCAGACGGAGGTCAGGCACTGCAGGGGCAAGTCCTGCTCCTTGGGGTAGCTGTTGCCCGACCATTGCTGCAGGAGAAACTCCAGCTCCTTGGTGCCTTTCACGGGGTTCAGGACGTACATGTCCAACCGGCCCACTCCCATCTTCTGGAAGAGGACGGTGGGCTCCGCGCGGGGTCCGCTGTCCCGGGCCAGCGGGTTGGGACGGATGCCCAGCTTCTCCAGGTAGTGCAGGGTCAGGGCGGCCTCATCACAGCTCTTCAGCACCCGAGAGTTACCCTCAATGTCCTTCAGCTTCTCGGAGGCATTGAGGAAGACGACGCCCAGCTCCGGGGAGATGAGGTTCTTCGCCCAGTCCCCGTTGCCCTGCGAACTCTGGGACGGATCCTCCTCCAGCTCAGCCAGCTTCCTCTGCAGCAGGCTGTTGACGCCGGGCAGGCTGTCCGTGCCCGCGTGTGTCACCAGGATGGAGTCGATGCGGTCCAGGTGCCGGACCAGCTTCCAGAAGGATGACTTGGGGTTGGAGCCTCCGTTGACCAGGACGTTGAAGCCGTTGACGGCAAAGAAAGCCGAGTCCCCTCTCCCGCCCGGGAAGATATAGCAGCAGGGCTTGGAGAGCTTGAGGAAGCCAACCATGGTGGGGGGCTCCAGGAGGTCAAAGGGGGACTGGGGCTCCAGCGACTCCGAGAGGTACTCCATGAACTCCTCCAGCCCCTCCATCTCCGGCAGGATGCAGCCTGGGTTGTAGCGCAGCTCAATGAAGTCCTGGAGGTTGTGATGGTCCAAGCCCGAGTCCCTCCACTCCCCAAAGTCGGGGCAGCTGATGGTCAGCCTGGCCTTGGCCGAGGGGTCCGCAGAGCTGAGGATCTCCCCTACCTGCGAGGGGACGGGGACAGGCAGAGCTTCAGGTGGGATGGGGCACCCGGGGCCAGCAATGCGGCAGCGCAGGGGTGCCCTGCCTCAGCCCCCCCCTCCCTTGGCAAGCACAGAGCACCCCCTTCCCAGGA